GACTTTAAAGATAAAAAGGATTAGTAGCAGGTAATGCATTTTCCATGAGTGGCTATAGGGCTCTCAGTTCCAGAAAGTACAGGCTGCATACAAATGAATTGATAAAAGTCTGAAGCTGCGGATGGGTAGGAAGGCTCATGCTTTGCTGGAGATGATTCTTAAAGTTACAATAAATCAGACAGACAGTGTCGGCCTTTGAGGATAAACCTGTGATGGCTTGTTGTGCCTCTTTGAATCGCCTCGGAGGCCCAGGGACTAAAAAGTGCCTAGATGTCACATTAAATCTACCGGGAGGATGGAGCACTTCAAAGAGGAACGCAATCAGATCTGATGGAAAATACATTTTCTGAAAGCTACTGACAAAAAAGTAATCTTTGATGTGGATGTTGAATAACAATTGATATTGTCTTTCCTGACATTTTTCATTATTGCCGTCTTATACAGCCTACTTCATGTATTAAAGCAATATTAACTGTTTGACAGGGACAAATCCTCAAACTATCACATAAGCAATTGTTTCTGAATTGTCTTAGCCCACTGCCTGTAAAACCTGTCCCAATAACTGCTTTTAAATATGATGGTATACTCTTTTCCCTGACTAGCTAGACAGTGTCTGAGCCTTGGCATAATACAATGGAGTCTAGGGGATATTAAAAATGGTTAGGTGGTTATGAGGTGTCATTTGATTATAAGCAGAGAAGAGTAGTGTTTCTGAAGGTGACTTTTAATGCGAGAGGTCTATAAAAAGTTAGTCCTTATTATTCCCAATGTACAATACACATTTATATCAAGTATACATACTCAAATCTCAGATCTGCTGCAATTCTTGTAGCTTAAAGGAAGAAACCAGAAATGTACAGGAGATCTTTCTTATTTATGCAAGGAAATAAAGCAATCTGTGCCTGTTCAAAATGTTATAAAAAAGATACTGTAGTTAAATCCCTCAGTTGTTACTGGAAAGAAATTCAAGCAGATCTAGGAGCCACATGTCATTCCAAAGGACTGAATCCCTCCTGGGGTTTGATGTCTTAACCTTCTATTGTAAAGATGTGCAGTTTCATCAGAGATATTTATAAATCCCAAATCCCTAATTTTCAGATGACCTTGAGCTACTGAATGAATTTGAGAAAATACAGCTGGAGTTCTAATCAGTTTTAGTATAAAGGGGTTAACTGCATTAGCACCAGTAAAAGGCACATGTACTGAAAACCCAACTATGAGAGAAAATTACAAAACTGACATAATTGACTGCTCTCAAGCTCTCAAAAGTTATTATCATTTATGTTTTGCTATATAACATAGTGATGTTGTGAATGTACGTATTTGCTTCTTATTCCCTTGACGGTATTTTCCTGGTCTTGAAATTTTCACACTCCTCTAAGATTGGTTTAACCATCTTTTATTTTCCCCCCACTACATATTCTTCTATGATTCCCCTTTTTGTTCCTAACAAATTTCTCATTTTTATGGAAGAGTCCCCCAATGTGGTGTTCTATAGGTTCACTCTTGAGGGGAAAAACGTTTAACTCGGTGTATTTAACCTATGGTAATAAACTCCATATAGTTTATTTTGTAGGATTCATACAGTAATTGTGAGATTCTCTCATACTGGAATCAATAAGCCACATAGTTGTCCAGCATCACAATACTGTGCTGTAATGTATTAAATATTTGTATTAACAAGCATGAGAATTAGACACTGAGCACTCTAACATATATTTCTCTGATATATGAAAACAGACCTATCTTGCCCTGCAAAAGGTAACAATGAGAGACCCAACATTTTGCCTCTCTCTGTATCATCCTTTGTCATGCTTGTGCTTTCAGACACACATGTAGTATAGGTAGTAGCTATCCCTACAAGGAGAAGGGCAAGCTGCACTGCTCACTAGTGTGTGCGCCAAACCACGCTCACTCCCATCCTGCGCTGAACTGTCAAATTCTTTCAAGGACCTGAGGTTCAAACACGATTCCTTTCCACCCAGAAGGGAGCTGCTGTCCTTCTCATCAAGTAGAGACAATGAAAACCTCTTCTTTTGGCTGATTTGTAAGTAATAAATGGGTCTACCAAAAGAAAAGAAAAGAAAAGAAAAGAAAAGAAAAGAAAAGAAAAGAAAAGAAAAAAGAAAACATCAGCAACATCCTCAGCAGTTTCAAAAGGTTATTCCTTCTTATCTCCCAACTCCAACTGTTGCTTTAATATTTCAGAGTTGGCTCAGTCTAAAGTTCACATTGTCCCCTCTAGCACTCCAGATCCTTGACACTTCAACCTCAGGGCTACCAGAAGGGATTGCTCCTCTTTCATGCTCTGCACTGTTTTGTCCCTGATGGGAACTCATTCACTCCCTGGTTTCCTAACACCTTCTTTCTGAGTTATTGAAATGAAGCCGCCTGACCAGCTGAAACTTCTTTGAAGCCTGGGAACATTTCAGATGTCAAGTTGTGAGATTTCCTCTCTTTATTTTAGCCGCTGCCAGGGCTTGTAAAAAAAAAAATCTATGAACTAAGCATTAAAACCCCATACACAGCAAACTCCTGGCACTGATTTTACTATCCTACAGTAAATGGGGGATGGAAAAACCACAGAAATTATCATAATGTGCCCATTGTGGAAATATTAGAAAGATGATTGGTGTTGGGGGAGAGGAAAATGAAGGTCCATTAGCCAGCGAAAGATGTGTGAAAAGCTTTCAGTTCTGGTTTTATATTCACTGAGGTCAAATTACAATCCTCTCCCCTACACTTACACACACACACACTTTGGGCTTGATCCTGCACGGCACAGATGCAGAGTGCTAAACACAGAAGTGCAAAATAAAAAGTGCTGAGCAGGTCAGTGAGTACAAAGGTACATGATCCTACACTAATGAGAGCACTGCAGTTGTGGTGACCAAATTACTCGTGCCTAGTAGCAGAATAAGGCCAAAGACAGCAGTGCACAGCTCAATACCTCATTAGGGCGGCAGTGACAGGGATTGAATCTATGTCTCCTTAGACACCCCTGTTCTCACCAGCCTGATCCTTTTTGCTCTGCTTCTCTTGAGTCTCAGAGAGCAGGCACAATATGAGTTTGACTTACTTGGGCTTAGAAAGAAGGGGCCAAGCCTAATGCTTGATTTTATTTGTGCTTCCTCATAGCCTTTGCTCACACACAAACTTTCGCTCCCTATGCACATTGCACAAGGGCTTACAGAATCACAGATTTTATGAACATGCCCATGAGGGGATGGATTGAGACTATTGCATTGCATCTATGCACAATTCCTGGTAAAAGCAACAGTCAAGACATTGTTATCACAAATGCTTGCAGCTGAAATGGAAGATTTAGCAGATGAAGTGTGGTATACAGAGTTTTTGTACCTTTGCTAAACATGGCCCTTTTCTCCCAGCTGTTGCCAAAAAGGATTCTTGACTCGAACTGGTCTGCATAAAAAACATCTCTGATTTGCAACAATCTGCAATAAAATGTTTAAACTTATATTTACTACTTCATAGATGTGTGGAATAACCGATATATTCCCATTCAGATTACTCCTGTAATATAACCTTACATTTGGACAGCAATACATGCCTGGACTTTATCTGGGGTGGACATTTCAGACCTTGCATTGTAGGAAACTGAATTTCCCTTTTCTTTTTGAAACAAGGTACTACTTGCTATTCTATTCTATGGGATTTAGAGGGGGTTTTGAGCACAGTGAATTTTCTTTCTAGTGGTTAGACCAGGAACTTGTAAATCAGGACTCATGAGTTCTGTTGCCAGTTCCATCACTCACCTGTTCTGTGATGATGAGCAAGTCATATAATCCCTTTCTGCCTTATTTACTTCTTTACAAAATTTATATAATAATAGTTGCCTGGCTGTTTTGTGAGGCCTAATTTATGTTTTCAAAGCTTCTCAGTCGTATAGAGCATTAGCACCTTCTTAATGCAATAAATCAAAATTGAACGAGAAATTGATCTGAGGAAAAGTCAAATTTGAATAACATGCTACTGTAGGAGGGCTAAAGTCTCATCCCATAAAAGTCAATGTGAATTTTGTAATTCAATGGGCCTAGGATTTGGCTTTGAATGCATAAATTACTATTCCTCATTCTTACATCCCTCCAATCTTTATAAACATTCATCATTTACCCATAGTGCCATTATACACATTTTCCCAAGGTTTGTGATGTGCTAACACCCCAGCCACCTGCTGCCTCATTTGCAGGATTATTTAGAGAATGGGTGTAAAAGTGTAAAACCCAATAAATAACACGAAGAGATATTGAGACTGTAAGCTCTTTAGGGCAGGGATCATCTCTGTTATAGGTTTGTCCAGGGCCTAGCACAATGGGCTGGGCCTCTAGAGGCTACCATAATACAAATAAATAAATAGCAAAATGTGACATATCCTTTAATGTATTCTGTGGGAGTTAGGAAGACAAGAAAACTCTAAATTAATGATACATTCTAAGGGGTTTTTTTTCCTCCCCCAGGGGTTTTCTACAGGAGATCATTCCCGCCACAGGCCCTTGCCTCCTAACTGATATCCCAGAAAAACTTCCCTGCTGGCTGAGAAGGTCTCCATGGGACTCCCTTTGTAGCTCTTCGGTACCGTCCTTGAATCAGCCATAGAAGTTGCTACACAGTGATACAGGATGCACTTCGTTGTCCCTTCCTGCAGGGAAAGCTGAGACTTCTGCATTCACAGCACCTGCCAGCCTGGGGAATGTAAGACCCAGTTTAAATTTTTCAATTCAGTTTCATGTAAATGGATGTGTTACCCTGTAATTAATTCACTACTAATTACACAATTACTCTCATTTATAGTATCAGTTAAAAAAATGAATTGATGTTAGCCCATTCTAATTTGCAAAATAAATTAAGCAAATTGTTACTTGATTTTAAATCAAGTAAATCAGCTGCTTGGTTCATTTTCCCAGAGTAATTCTGTAATAGTTTATAATGTTACTGAATGTTGCTTACATATGCACGACCAATATAATTCTCAGTAGTGTCATTCTAATGACATGAGGGAAGTTTTAGGCTTGGGATGTCCGTGCCTAAGGTTATGTGGCCTTTTGCTTCTCCTGGACTCCTGTTTAAGCTGCCCATTTTGGGCTTGCTCATTATGAAGATTTATACCATCATCTAGTGGAACTCTCGTAAAACTACAACCCATTAATTCTCTCAACTAATATGCTCTTTGCATGCAGCCAGAGATGGAAAGAATAGGCAATGAGGTCCTTGTATTCAGATTACTAAAAATAGGAGGATTTTTGACATCTACCAGAACAGGAGAATTTGCCATAACCTCTGTAATTAAAATCTTGTTCAATATTTGCCTAATGTCACATTAAATCTATGTAATGCTGCTGCTTGTCTCCCTGCTCCCACCTCCTAATATTATTTTTCAGGATCTAGAAACATGACTACAGCAGCAGCAGCTAACCTGTGTTATAAGCAGAGGAAATTATTGGTTAGCAAAGCAAAGGGTGGACAAGGGAATAGAAATGTATCCTAGGTACTCCACCCTGGACAATAAATAAAGCCTGAATAAAAGGGATTTCATCCTTATTTTTCATCATAGTATGAGAGACACCGTTGCCCCTTGCATTCTCTCCCCAACTCCCTACAGTTAGAGCACCTGCATGCCTTCACCATGCATGGAAATATTATTGTGTCACACTGCCAGTTTCAGGCTATTACCCCCACAGATGATTAACTATGCTGCCAAACTCCCTCTCTCAAATATACTCCCTTCAATTATTCCAACCCCTCCATCCACACCTCTCCTAATAAACTTTCTCTTCTTAATCCAAATGAGCTGGGGGAACCAGCTGTAGTATCACAACATATTGGGTCATCCAATGGCACTTCAGAAGCTGACTAATGAATCAGCAGAATGACCATACAGTATTTTGATCAGCCAGATGCAGTTGATCAAGGGACTAGATCAGAGACAGTATGACTTTGCTTGAACAAATCAATCAAGAGAGGTATTTTCATGTCGGAGTCCACCCATTATTCACACAGCTACTCTTCTCAATATTTCTACATCTACTTCTGATGTTGGAATTTGATGCACACCAGTGACCCAACCAGTGCAAGCTGGGAAAAGTGTAAACCATGCACCAGCCATTAAAAATTCTAGTAAGTTGCACAGAATAATGCTCACATCAATATTTCCCATACTGCCATGCACATGCAACTTTCAGCTGAATGTCAGACTGGCAGGACCCTGGGGAGTATGTGCAACAACAAGAAGGAAGAAGTGTAATGTCATCTAACATATCTATCCCAATGCCCGTGTCAAGTGTGTTCAGTGCATGGCTAACAGATCCACCCAGACTCATCTATCCAGTATGCTATTGCCACTACCTAAAGGTCAGAACCTCATGTGTTGGTTCTCTGTGGTACAGCCACATATCAACTGGTGGCTTCTTTATAACCCTCTTTTCCCTTTCTACCATGTTTTGGCCAGTTTTTATGACAGCACTTGGACCGTCTCCCTGAGTCTGTTTGGTCCTGCTGAGTCCATCCTAGCATTAAACAATGCATGCTGTTTTGAGCATTTTTCTGGGGAATGATATAGCACCATTCGTGTACTTGCCTTTGTGGGCTACTCTGTGAACCATGTTTACACTTACATGTTTTTCTGTGCCCAAATGGATGACAGCCCCACTAATTTTAAGTGTGTGACTATGCCTCTTCCCCAATGCCCAGAATATAAATTTGGCAATATACAAAAGGCAATGTAAAAGAAAGGTAATGCCTTATAATAATCATCCTAAAATAACATGAACTGCAGAGACGTACTGTTGCTGCTTCATCTAATCTGAAGCATGCACAGTCCATATTCATAGTTAGTCTGTTTTTAAATCATAGCAACCTTAACAACAACGAAAAGGCGTGACCTGTCTTTCCTGGAAGAGCCTAGTCACATTCCTCTCTCAAGTTCTCCATGTGACAGAGGAGCGCTACAATTAAAGCACAATAATTTGCTTGTTATTCAAGTCAGGCATTAGTTCTAGTAATGGGGTGCTTGGTGGAGAGATGGATTTCCTTGTTAGGAGCTAAGCACAGGATTAACTGAATTCTCCATGGAGAAATCTTGATTTGTTCAAGGTCTTTCATGTTTTCTACAGAGAAGGGATTATGTCTACTTAAAGAGGGGGCTTGCTTAAAAAGCTACAAAGTATAAGAAAAGGATTTAGGGCAGTCGGGCCTGCGGTTAAGTAGCTGAGGGGTAGAGGGAGTTTTAGAGCAGAAGATTATTTAAAGCCATAAAGTTCAAAAAATAATTGGTTTAGCACTACTGGGTCAATGCAGGGTAACATGCTGGAAAGGCAGTTAAGCATAAGCTAATATTCATTTTACTTTGGCTAATTATTGCAAGGCTTCAGAGTAAAGGGTGAAAGAAGAAATGTTCTAGTTCTTTCCTTTGGGGTTCAATCACATAGTATATTTTCTATGCTCTTTTGGTTTTTTTATATATACTTGTTGTGACATATATTATCAGACAAATGCAAGAATCGCAAAGGGCTTTTTTTAAAGCTCTGACATTGTTCATTTAATGAGGCCATGAAGTAGACCGTTAAATGCCTCTCTAAGAGTTATGGAAAATGTGGTCCCTATGTAGCCGCCCTTCTCATCCCCAACTCTTTTTTCTTTCCCTTTTTTAAAAAATTCTAGTGATATAATTAGCTGAATTTGACTCAGAGCAGGTTCCTGTGATCATTCAGGTCTATGATAGATCTAAGTCGAGGCACTCTTCAATCCTGATGTAAACAAGAGACTTTCACTCTGTGATACAGAGCTCCCTCCATTCACTCCATAATTAACTAGATGACAATGTTGGATTTTGGCTGACACTTCATGGGTTTTTTTCCCCTGCTACACGGTGCAGTTTCACGGTACAGAAAATAGAATGGTCTTAAGGGAAAACTGAACAGTGTATTTGAAAGAACCAACAGGGAGTCCCACCTCACACACACACACTGGATTCATAGCCAAAGTCCTACGAAAATGGGAGCAAATCTTCCCACAACATATGGAGTGCCATGCAGATTGCGAGTGGATTTCTCCAAGAAAAATTGGTTGTTCCTAATGGAGATTGTGATTTAGTGGGCATAAATGTAACCTGGTGAGATACTTCCTATAATTGGAATGTCAGTACATATGATTACAATCTATATAGGACAGACAGAAAGGAAGAAATGGTGGAGGGATGGCGTGATATGTATAAAATAGTTCTGAAACAGTCAAATTGTACTGCAGTGCAACAGTGAAAGAGTGTGGTGGGAGAGAGCATTTGTTAATGAAATGTGCTGATGGTAGTAAATTAGGCAGTGTGAACACTAGCACAGAGAAAGAAACAATACAAAGGCACCAAGAGAGATTGGAAACACGGACAGAAAAAGTAAAATATGATTCGACTTGGAATAATATATTTGGGGGGAAATGTTCAGAAATACATTCAATCAGAGGGAGAAAGCATGGCAAGCAGCAATGCTGAAGGAAACCTAGAGGTGATGATGGACATACTAGATATGAGTTTGCAGTTTGATAGAGCCGCTAAATAAGGAAAGCATTTTGGGTTAAGGTATCATGTAAAAGAGCTAGGATATAATAGTCTTTCTTTGTGCAACTCTGCTGTGACCACACCTGGCATATTGTTTTCAGTTCTGGGTACATCAATACTAGAAAGATACTGAGAAATTGGAGGGAGTTTAGAGAAGAGCAACAACAACAAGAAAAGGTTAGGGGTCCAGAGGTGGATAATGAGGCAAGCTTAAAAGAGCTAAATACTCCATGAATAGCTTTGGCTGTGATGATTAAGTGTGTGGTGGGGAGACATAATAACAGACTGCAAATATCTGAAGGATGTAAAAAAGAGGAAGAAGAAATTATCAGAGTAGTGCACAAGGTATAACTGGGAGTACTGAGATAGAACCGAGAACGAATTTAGATTGAATACTAGGAAAAACATTCTGAACATGAAATTGATTAGGCTGTGAAATAGTCTCCCAAAGGAAACAATGCAAACCTTATCACTTGGGACAACTAAAGTCAGATAGGACAACGCATTAGTAAATATATATTAGCAGAACACTGTGCATAGGTGGAAGGATGGACTAAATCACCATTTCTAATATCTACAGTATAAACCTACGTACTGTATTTAGCGATTATTCCTTACTCTACCAGTTTAATTTAATTAAAAATACCTGTGGAAACCCCTACCAGCCCTGCACATGTTCTGCATAGTCATCTGAAATTTGTCCCACAGCTTGGAGATTAATAGGATTCTCCCAAATGAAAGATACTGATTCTGGTTCTCAGCTGGATCCAATTCCAGTTGCAGCCAATAGGAGTCTTTTCATTTACTTCAATTGCAATTGGATCAGGCCCATACACTATTTTAATTCTGCTTTACCTGGCTTAAAGGAAATGGGTCTTGCGGTTAGAGTAAGTACCTGGTAGACTAGAACCTGTGACAATGGAAGTAATGGGATCCTGATGCTTCCACATCACCACTAGGAGCCCAAGCCAGGTTTCTACTGGAGACCTGTGAAGCTAGACACTGCAGGAAGTATCACCAGGCAGGCCCTGCGTGACAGCCCCCTGCAGCTCACTGATTGGCAAATGCCAGTACATAAACCAGAAAGCCATTACAGGGAGCTGTCTGAGCAATGATGTAGACTACCTGCTTGCTTCTGATCCAGATTTTGCCTTCCTGTGAACCTTGGACTCCATCTCCTGACCCCAGTTTGTCCCCAGCTCTGCTACTTGCCTCCGCTCTGTAACCTGGTGCCTGACCCTGACTTCCTGGTATTCTGACCCAGCTCAATCCCAACTCTGCTACTGTCTCCTGCCTGTAACTCAGTGCCAGACCCTGACTCCCTAGTATGCTGACTCAGCTCAACCCTGACTTTGCTACATATCTCCTGACCTCAACTTGATAACTGACCAGTGCACACCTGCTGCCTATGGCCGGGCCCTGACAGCTGGATTCTGTTCCTCTATGCCACGTACTTCCTCTATGACTTTGGGGAAGTCACTTTTCCTTTTTTGCTTCAATCTACTCTTCTATAATAAATTAAATATCAAATATTCATGGGAGAATGTGAAGCTTAATTTATTAACCTTTGTAAACATGCTTTGTCATCTTTGGGTAAAAGGTGCTATGTAAATTCAAAGTATTGTTTTTGTCTTGCAAGATTCATGGTACTGAGGAGGTGAAAGGGTGAAAGAGTTTATTTGCATAAAAGATGATGATTTATCTACTTTGTGGCTTCTCAGGTTCCCTGGAGCTTTGCAAGACAATACATTTTTCTATCTTTGAAGAATTTCTTTCAGATCCAGAAGAAGAGAAACATTCTTTTAAAACTCAGTTGCTCCGCCCCCACCCCCAACCCCCTCCCATCCCCACACAGACCAAAATCCTGGAGTGAGGTGAAGACAAACAGGTTTCATTACACCCATCAGCTTTGTCCATCTCAAGGGTTCTCTGGAATTAGGGTTTATACTGATAACAAGTTCACTGAGACTACTCACTCACTAGGTAAGGTAGTACTCACTATAATCAAAGATGACAGAATCTGACCCAGTGATTCTGATGTAAACACATGATTCTTTCCAACCAGATTAGGATCACCTGTGAACATTTGATGATACTTTCTAATTTCCCACCTTGACAGCCTTTCACAATCATTCTTCATTACTGCCGTATCCCCACCTCCTCACCAGCATGCACCTGCTTCCCATCTATACCACAGTAATATTAGAGGTGCCAGTGAATTGTCACTACAGGCACAGGGATGTAGAAACACTGGGCTGAGCCAAAATTTACAGTTCTCAAACCAGGCATCAAGTTTTCATAGCCTGATTCTTGTTCATGCAGAGAAGATATAGCATGATGGACTGTGATCAAGCAAAACCCATCCACAAAAAGGATGACTTACAACTGCACACTGTCAGAAGATAGGATACTGGACTAAATGGACCATTGGTCTGATCCAATATGGCCATTCTTATGTTCTTAGCCACTTTGATGGTTCAGTAGTTTTATGATAAAGCTTGGAAATGTTCATATTATTATTGCTCATTTTGTTCTTTCATTTTCTATTTCATTATCAAGCATAAGCTTTGATGTATTCAGTGATTCATTATAAGGAGGAAACTTGTATAATACTTGATTACATACCTGGATACATTACTGCCAGCCAGTCTCACTACCAAGACAGGCCTGCCTCACATAAACCTTACAACCCTTCAATTCTTCTCACTGGAAAAACAGCTTTAAGGGACAGCCAGAATTAATCATTTGTAGTCATGGTGATTAAATCCATCTGGAATATATCTGAAGAGTCATCCTCACACCTCCGCCCATATAAATACGCAGCCCATGTAATATATGTTTCACCCCTTTCCTTTCTTTGTGGTTTTACCCTTCCTGTTCTAAATTGCCCCAGTCTCAGTGTAGCCATTTTGTTATTAAATTAACGTTTTAGTCTTCCCAAGAGAGTGTTTCTGCCATCACCTGTCAATGGAACAGATTTCTATGTGGGTGCTCCTAGAAAGAACACTGTAAAATTTAAAATAATTTTAAATTCATTTTTGCTATTTGTTTTTTTTAAATAAGTGACATTCAATTTATAAGTTATATTTCGTTACAAATAGCTGTATGGAACAGCCCATGAAAATCAGTAAATGCAAATAAAGTTTAAATTTAAAAAGCATACATTGACTTGTACTGTATATGTGACTTTTGTACATTTAAAGTATAGCTGGTAGGAGTCTCTCATCTGAGAGATCTGTCCCATACATAGCAGTACTCAAATAGTCTTCTTTAGAATGTGAGTTTTTGCTGCCAGAGATATGTACTTTTAGCTGGACTTACACAGCACAATGGAGACATTAGTGGCTTGTCACCAAAGATATACCACAGAGCTATTTCCTTTAGCAATAATAGTAATTTTAATTTGACATCAGGTACAAATTTAAGATTTGATATTAAGAAGCACTAATTCCAATGCTTACAGTAATTTGACATCAGCTATTTAATTTGCCATACACCAACTTACGCTCTTACAATATATGTGAATCACAGTCTCCATTTGTACTATGGGTTATAACCGCAGATAGTGTAAGTCAGAGTAAATTCATTGACATCAACTGAGTTTTGCCAGTTTGTATCAGCTGAACATCTGGCCCTAGCTATTTTGGAGAATTGTAAGACACTCTGTTATGAGTTTCAGATTTCTCAGAGGAAAGTGCTCATATTTGGGTTGCATTTATCATGCTATCTATTTAAGGATGATTGGGAGACAGCGTGTGAGTGTTAGTGCACCCATCCTGCATATATGTAATTAAATAGCAGTGTGGATACTATAAAAACAACAAGGAGTCTGGTGGCACCTTAAAGGCTAACAGATTTATTTGGGCATAAGCTTTCGAGGGTAAAAACCTCACTTCTTCAGAGGTTTTTACTCACGAAAGCTTATGCCCAAATAAAATCTGTTAGTCTTTAAGGTGCCACCAGACTCCTTGTTGTTTTTGTAGATACAGACTAACATGGCTACCCCCTGATACTTGATGTGGATACTATGGTGCTTGAGGAGAGAGAGAAGATTGCATGGAGCAGAGAAAGACCTGGCAGCTGAAAGGGAAAAGGCAGCCCAAAACAGAGAGAGAGGAAGAGATTTAGCAGCTGAGCAATAGAGACACAGACAGTCCTCTGGACACAGGGAAATAAAAAGAGGAAGGACATTGGAAGAAGGGGAAAAAAAGGCAAGCCAGCATGAGAGCGAACCTAAGTTCAGAAAAGGAGAGAGAGAGACTAGCATCAGAGGGTCAGATTCAGCATTGATTCACAACCTGTGAAAGGCCATTGTATTCAATGGGGCTGTACGCACATATGTCAGGGTAGCTTCTGTTCAAGTCTTAAAAATCAAGACAAGGGAATCCCTAAAGTAAGCAAGCCAAAGATAATCACCAAGGGATCCAGCCTGCCAAGGAGGCTACAAGCCTGAGATCTATTGAAGTGTTACTCGGACTAAGAACCTGATCTAAAGCCCATTGAAGTACATGCGTGTTTTTCCATTGATTTTAATGGATTTTGGATCAGTCCCTAAATTATAAACATTTGACCATTTTAGAAGATAAATAACATAAATAAAAGCATTTACATTTCTTTTCACAAGAGTGAGATGGAGATTTTTCATTTGTTTTGGGGCACAAACAGGGTGGCTTTTCCCTTCCTTTCCTTAAAAACACCACATACACCAGGGGGACAGACACACCATGGCGTGTTGGAAACAGGCTGACAGAGCATTTGTCTGCAGTGTTAACTGCCAGGAATATCCCCAGTGAAACATTGTGCAGGCCCAGCGCGCACACACACACACACACACACACACACACACACACACACACACACACC